GAGCTTATATTGTTTAAGCTTGAAAGGAGAGTATAGTTCATATCTGCAAGATCAATTCAATCCAAGGAAGCTGTTATGTGCATTCGAGCAGTTACGTTTCTCGGAACATCTATAGGATGTTCTTTGCTCGCGAGGCTTTTCAAACGCTTCCTGAATCCTGTTGCAGAATCATAGTTGGTATAAGAAGGCAGAGTTTCGGGAAAGAAAGGCGGTGACTGTTTGTTGTATCTCCCTCTATACTCGAGAATTGCAGTAGTATTCGTTTTATCATATCCGGTAAAAACCGTATTGTCGGTGTAATATTGTCAACTGGCCATGTAATAACGACTGGGAGATTGATTTGCTTCGATTAGAACATCTATTGTCTGCCCAGTTGCTAACATGACATAACTAGTAGTAAAAGGTTTCAGGTAGCTTCGATCGATTCCAACAACTGAGAGATTATGCCCTGCTATTGCGAAGAACTCTTCATCCATCAATGCATTGACTAGTCGAATCAAGTACGTCTTCCCGTAATCGACTTGCCATCGGTATGTCTTCTCTGCAACACAAGATCAACACATATAATCATGAAGATTATGTCTGTTAGTGAACTTAATCTGCTTAGGTGGGGTGATCAATCATCTCAAAAGTGTTCAACTACAATATTAGCCTTGCATGTGAATCTAAGTGTGGAATAAAGATACTAGCTAGAGAAGGATAAGGACACTCCCCAGGTGAAATGAGAAGTACTAAAGGAGAAAAGGGTTGTTCGGATTCGAGCTTGAAAGCTTTAAATCGAGCCAAATCGGATGAAAATTCTTTAGCCGATCGGAAATGGTCCGACATTTAGTTAGCTAGATATATGACAGATTAGGGTACCTTTAGAGCAAGCACAGAAATCTCCTGGTTGGCCATTAATGATATAAGCATCAGATATAGGTACATCTTTCCCAGTTCTTAGGATCTCTATGATTACCTTGTTTACATCATAGGTAAACCAAGTTCCTGCATGTATGCATACATACAATGGCCAAAACCCAGGTCAGATACATGAATCAAAATATATAATATAGTATTCTATTAGTACATGACACAGATACATACATAGCAAAGAAATAAAGGGTTAGTACCAAATATGAGAATCTGTTCCCCTTGAGGAGTGGGAAAAGGGTAGGAAGATCGACGAGGAGGGTAAACGACAATGGCACCGTGGACGGTGTTTCGAGTCCAATCGGTGTTACTACTAGCATGCCACCAGAGAGTCCCTTCCTCCTCGGAAAACACAACTTGTTAAGTGAAATTGTTGCCTGGTTCAATAGGGCACTGTGTGATTAGGGATGGCAGACAAATGCAGTTATGTGGATTTCGCATCGTACTCTCTCTAGTTGGGGCCGGAATGTATATAAGTTTAGTTAGTAATAGAAGGTTGTGGATGTAAAAAGTCATACCGCCGTAGATGGTAGATAGTTGATGGGTTTAAAACCTTATCCGCCCGCCCCGCATCCGTCTGCCTACTAATTACCCACTATATAAATTTTGAAACATTTTGAATTTAAGTATACTTTTAGAGATTATTCTAAAAATCTTAAGATTTTATAGGACATGACTTAAAATTTAACCAAATATTAGGGTATAAACTCAATTAATCATTGGTTTATTTAGGCTTATATAACAAATAAATATATAAAGTATACCATCTTTTTCATTTAAGTACCTAAAGTATTGTTTGGTCAAAATAAGTACTTAAAATTATCTTTTTGGTCAAAATAGGTACCTAAAGCATTAAATTTTTTTTCATCCAAGTACCTAAAGTATTCTTTAATTAATGTCACATATTAACTATTTTAGAACTTAGATGAAAAAGCTTAAATAGTTTAGGTACCTATTTTGACATAAAATACTTTAGGTATCTATTTTGACTAAAAAGATAACTTTATATATATTTTTTTTGACAAAAAAATACTTTAGGTACTTAAATAAAAAATATAGTTTACTTTAGCTATTTATTTATGATATAAGCTTTTATTTTATTAGGTTTTTTAATGGACGTGTTTGTTTTATATTTTATTACTTATATAATATGTGAGGTTGCTGCTAGGTGGGTACGGGATGGGTGGTGGGTATCTAGTTAGATAGTAGATATAGGAGTGGATTTGAGAATGTACTCGCGTGGACGGATGTGAATTTAAAAATTTTACTCATCGTGAATAGTGGGTAGGTGATAGATTCAAAAATATTAGGTGGGTACGGGGATGGGGAAAAGGGTATCTGCACCCTCCCTGCCCGTTTGCCATCCCTATGTGTGATGTATGCAGAGCCATCTGACCATGGGTTTCTGGGTTGCTTCACCCCATGGCTGGAAAATGGGGGAAATCTTTAGCTTTATAACAGGTGTGAAATGAAGAGATCAGAAGAAAGGGAGAAAATTAGGTTACCACTGAAGGGTGAGACCATAATCACCATGATTATGAACATTGACAAACGCCGTATTACCTTTATGAACATAGATGGTGGGTCCTGGGAATTGGCCATGGACAACCAGCATGCTCCTGGTCTTGCACAGCCTCGTAAAGTTCTTCTCTGCCACCTGCATACAAGATGATCATCATCACTGTATGATATACATACATATACATTCATATATATTATATAATTTGGTTTAAAAGTACTTACAACAAAGTCATTATAGTGAACTTCAGCTTCAGCTACCCAAGGGGAAATCCTAAGTACGACCACGGCGACGGCGACGGCGACCACGAGACGAACGGCGGCGGCGGCGCGCGAGAGTTCCCCTTGTTCTCTATCACTCAACAAGGAAGTGAAAAGCCAAGCCTTAAATACCATTCCCAATAGTGTTTTCAATACTATGTGGGATTGAGCATTACCAACACTTGTTCCCAATAGTGTTTCCGGATACACTTTAAGTTCAATTATAATCAACATTTACTACTTGCTCGAAATACCGAGCAGAGTAGACAATATCGTGATGAATTGTTTTGTTAAGTTGGTAAAGCATGTTCTTGGATTACGAGAGGCTTATTGTAAATGTAAACAAAAAATTTCTTCCGTTTCTTCATAATTTAAATTGCTAGTGAATTTTCAATCCCACATAGTATTGGAAACACTATTGGGAATGATATTTAAGGCTTGGCTTTCCTACTTCCTTATTGAGTGATAGAGAACAAGGGGGACTCTCGCGCGCCGCCGCCGCCGCCGTCTCGTCTCGTGGTCGTGGTCGTGGTCGTACTTAGGATTTCCCCTTGGGTAGCTGAAGTTGAAGTTAATTTGATAGAAGACATGTTAGTCAAAGAGGTTAATTTTTAATTTTACCGCTGAACTTTAGATAAAACATCAGTTAGACCTTGAACTTTAGATGAAGTATCATTTAACCCTTAAACTTCAGATAAAATATCAATCTGACTCTTGAATTTGACCAAAGTCTCTCGTCGCTGCCACCACTCACCATCGTCACCGCCAGTCGACTTCGTCCATCGTCATCATCGAGTGTTAGACCGTTATTTTTTTAACGGTACGTGACCAAACTAAAACCGGAACCAGGGTTTTAAATAACGTTCGCGGTCACGTTTTCGGTCGCGTCGCGTTTATTGCGGTTGCGGAAATAACGGATGCCATCGCGTTCACTGCGGGTGTCGCGGTCGTGAATTTTTTTAAATTTTGCACAACTTATCTTAAAACATAATAAAAATAATTATAATTATAAAGAATCATTTTTAAAGATTTTTAAAATGTTTTCTAAGCGAAATTAACATATATATATATATATATAATATAGTTTAACCAAATAGAAGACTTTAAAAATCCGATGATAGGATAAGATAATTAATTAACGATGACATTGTGAATACATTATTATTTAAAAGAAATAATACTATCAACATAGGAAAAATCTAATATATTAAAATGAATAAAAATAAGTTTTTCTATAACTATGAGATAAGAAATTATTTATCATTTTATCAAAGAGTTATCCTTTACTGAAAAACTCAAAAAATATATATATATATATATATATATATATATATATATATATATATATATCAAATGCAAGCAAAAAGAACAACATATCTCATGCGATAATTAAAGTAAGAAAAAAATCTTCATTAAAGCAAGAGCATAAAAGTGCGATGTACAATAATTAAAACAACATATACCTCATGTAATATAACTATGTTAAGATGTACAATACTTAAAACAACACATACCTCGTGCAAGCAACCTAACTATATCAAGATGTTCAACAATCTTCATTATGGATGTCTCTCTTTTAATCTATAACCAATCAAACAATGTAAATTAAAATCCAAAAAAATGCTAACTAATTAAATGTCATAGAAACATAGATTCTTTTGTTAACCAGTTGAATGCAAGTCGGAATGCATAAAATTCCATCTATTGTCAATAATTCTTTCATACTCGATGGAATATCGACAATTTTCCTTAATTGCTCGTTTAGCTCTATCAATGGCCTCATAAATAAAACCAATTGTTGGTTTTTCATCACCGTCAACAAGCCTTAGCACTTTGACTAGGGGTTCGTAAACTTTTATGATATCAACGGCTTTTTTCCAAAAATATTTTCCCAAAACAATTTTCTTGGCTTCATAAGCAGGCCCTGATTTCTGTTGTCCCCATTTTGATTCTCTGAATTCCTATATTTTAATAAGAAAAAAATCAATAACATAATTTAACTTATTTAAAAATTGGAACTAATAAAATCATTAACTATTGTTATATTTGAGTAATCAGTAACTGTATTAACTAATTATAAAATACTGACCTTTGACTTAAACATCTCTCTCAAACCTTGTTTTTGCCTTGTTATCTCCTCAAGCTGTATGAAATGAGTAGCAAATCGAGTAAGAGCTGGACGAAGAATTTGCTTACCGTGAGTATACTTCTTCATCAAATCAATGGTCCAAATATGATTATATATGAAGCATGTCACTTTCTTCGCTTCCTCTAACACTTTTGCTACACTGGACTTTTTTCCAATATCCTCAAGACATAAATCTAAGCAGTGAGCTGCACATGAGGTCCAATAAAGATGGTTTCTTTTCAACATTAATCTTTTTTCCAGTGGCTTTCATTGCTGCCTCATTGTCGGTCACTATTTGGATAATGTATTCTTCCCCAATTTCTTCAATAACTTTGTCTAATCTACTACGAACGCTCGAGACATCCACAGATTTCCAAAATACAGTTCCTTTACTACAATAAACAAGGAAGTTGATGATGTGCATTTGATTTAAACTATTGGTCCAACCATCACACATCAGAGTTGCACCCAATTGTTTCCAATGTGTCTTCAGTTCATTTACCCATTCACGAACTTGTTCATACTCCGATGAAAAAATACACATCTGAAATCTCATAAGGTGTTGGGAGCTTTACACCTTTTCCTACTTCCATTGATACTTGAATTAAGTTATACAACCAAGGCGAGCTTGCTAATCGAAAAGGAAGGCGATCGTATATTAGAAATTTTGATACCGCTTCACCCATCGTTTTACGCAATGTCTTTAAAATAGACTCGCTAACCTTTGGTTGTCTTGAGCTTTTGCTCTTAACCAATTCAGGTATAGTTCCCCTTAAACTAAATTCAGATCTTTCTTCAGGATATCTTCCGCGTGATCCAAGAGAAGAAGATCGCCCTTCTTCATAAATGTTATCCCAACCACCCGTACTTCGTCTGAATTCTTCTCTTCTATGCCATTCGTGTTGTGATCGGATACTTTCTTGAGTAGCTTGTCTCATAGCAGAAACATCATCTACGAATTCATCCTCTTCTTCCCTTAATTGTGATAGAATTCATCTGTTCTCCTTTTTTTGTCCATTTTCTTTTCCTTGGCTTCTTTAAGTAATTTCATCATGTTTTCTCTAATGATACATGTAATCAAAATAAATATAATTCACACTATTAATAATGTATAATATTTATTATTAATATTTAAAAATAATTATAAAGTATCTTTTTTCTAAAGAAATTATAAAGTATCACTATCACATATTCACATACCAGTGACATTAGGACATGGTGCGACTTCACCGGTTTTATGAGCAATGTGCTCTTTAAACCGTGTTATTCCTCCTTTCACAACCTTGCCACAAAGTTTACATACAACATTTCCTTTCGTATTTGGAACTGGATCTCCAAAGTGCCAACCTATATCTCTACTCGGTGCACCTTCTAATCCTTCAGTCGGGAACTTTTCAACACGTGATGGCATGCTTTAATTTCAATAAAAACTGAAATTAATATATATGTAAAGTTAAACAAAAATATAATTTTCCTAGCTTGTAAACAAAAATATAAGTTAAACTGAAATTAAATAAAATATAAGACAATATTAGAGATTTAGAAGGTTTAGAACCTAGCTTGTAAAATAATTTTTCATCAGTGGTGCATAAAATAATTTTACCTATTTTCCTTTTTTTTAATATAACTCACACTCATTGAATGTAGTTAGTTGTTTCATTTAATTTCAAAACTATATAATAAAAATAGAAATATATTATTTAAAGTGAGGCAGAGAATTTTTGCTTACAAAAGTAAAGTAGTAATTATTGTGGCATCCAATTTGTCAGATAATCAATGAGAAAGAGAAAAATAATAAATTATTTACTGTGACTCCGGTTTACAGGCAGTAGTAACACGGTGGTAGAGTGAAAGCATGATCAAGTGAACATGTAAAAATTATGATGATTTTTTTAATATATGTAGATTTTTATAATATAGTTCTCAAATTTGGATTATTAAAACCGTGCTTCGTATTCAATCTAAAAAAACTGAATATTCAAATTTTCGGATCAGATATCTAAATCTAAATATAAACTTTAATTTAACAAAAAATAATTTTAAATTTAATATTTTGTGATTTTATAAAATTTATTATATATCTATATTATATATATTTATCAAAATATGCTTGAACAAAATAAAAAAATCTTAATATGTCATTTCAAAGCTTAAAAAAATAAATAATTTAAAAAGTTAAAAAGGAAGAAAAAGAACTCACTGGATTCAATCAATTATTCAATCAATTATTCAATCTGCAAGAGTTGGGTAGTGGTTAGGCATTGACAATTTCAATGTACAAGCTGACTGGCTAGAGTGATTGGGGCGTTGGGTATTTTAATTTTTAGGTTGGGGACGGGCTGGTTGGCTCTGTGTAAAATTTTGTAAGGGTCCACGAACCATTTTTATTAGATATTAATGTGTAAAAAAATTACATATCGTTATTATCAAGAAAAACAAATAAAATATCTCAACTTACAAGAGAGGTCCCGAGAAGTTTCTCAGCTATTCCCACTCCCAGCTCCCACTTCTCTCAAAGCCATCTTCTTCGTTTCTTTCCATTCTCATTCCCCAGATAAAATTTTTTCAGTTTTCACCCCACCTATTTCACTCTTGCATGTTCGAAATCAAAACCTCAAATCCCTAATGAATATTTCATATTCAATCTTCCTAAGCTAAGCAGCAAAAAAAATTACCTTCTTAAATGGAAGCGGGAAGCTTGATGGCTGATGACTTGATCTACTCCTTCACCGGCGACGAAGCTCGACGAGGCTTTGTTTTTCCGGCTCTTCTCCTTCTCGATTGGTTTTTGGTAAGATGTGTATTGTGTGGTGTGGGTATTTGAGTTCACGGTTGATTAAATAGCGTATTTTGTTTTGTCCCACTTCCTACCCTGGTTGTAACTTGTAAGTAATTTTTCTTTCTTTTCAGTTTTAAGTTCACTTTTCAGTGTACTTGTGGGCTCACAAGTTGCAGGGAATATATTCCCTTCATTTTCTTTTTTTGTTTTCTATACGATGATTGTAGTGAATTTTGATTTTTTGTATTTGTCTTGGAATCACGGTGAATAACGGTGATTGCGTTCCGTTATCGACGCAATCGTCCGTTTCCCGTTAAATTTCGGACGCAATCCATCGCAATCGATGTGAATCCGTGACCCACCGTAAAAACCACAAATAGCGGTTTCGGACGGTGGCGCGACCGTAATATCGCGGCCGCTATAGCGTTTTCGGAACGCTATTTGATACCCTGACCGGAACATAATGTTTGGTATGATTTTGAAATAAAAAATAGTTAGGTGACCAAAACGGAACAAATTGATAGTTGAGACACTAAAAGTGTAGTTAACTCTAAAATAAAAAATACTTTAGGGACACCCTGGTCAATTATCTCTAAATGAAAAGAACATTAAATGCTAACGTACATTAAATTCGCCATCTAACACCGCCATTCACAGCCTTACAAATACGCCGCCGCCAGCAAGTAAACAATATTTAAACCTGAATCTGATCTAGGATGCGTTTGGTTCACGGAATGTAAGATTACCATTGGGAATAAAAGATTACCAGGGAATAGGATTACTGAGAATGTTGTATTTTGCGTTTGGTTGGTTTAGCAGGAATATAAGATTATCGTGTTTGGTTAAATGAATAAAAGATTATTGGAATGTATATTTAACCAAATTATCCTTATTATATATTTATTTTTTAACAAGTTAGAAAATATTTATATATTTTCTTTAAAAAATTTAAATTCATAAAATTTATATATTTTTTTACAAAATTAAAAATATAAAAAGATTTAATGAAAGGGCAAAATTTTATTTTAACCCCTTAACTTCATATAAAAAATTTTAATTATATATTTTTTTTGTAAATCTAAAATAGTTTAAGGATAAATTTATAATTTAACCTTCGTAGAATTTTTATTATTCAATGACAGAATAATGATATTTTTGAAAGAAATTTGTTTTTAAGGGCATTTTAGTCAAAAACACCGGTAATCCAACAATACCTAAGGAAAATGAGGTAATGACATTCCCGATAATATACCCCAAAAAATCTACTATTGATAATGTAAGATTATCGGGAATGACATTCCTTGTCAACCAAACGGGGGAATTTTGGTAGTAATTAGTCGGTTAATTTTTTGTTAGATCGGTTAAAAATTAATGATTTTTTAAACTTCGATTTCAATTAATTAACAGAATTTACTGAATTAATCAAAATTATTAAATATTTAATATATTATATATATTATTTAACTTTAAGTGTGTTTAAACTATGGTTTTAACCGATTAAATAAAAAATATTTAATATTTAATATATAATAATATTATTTATAAATTTCAGTTAATTCGGTTAACCGATCAATTAATCTAACTTAGTTCGGTTTGGTTAAATATTTAAAAAAAATTGTTTCAGTTAACGGTTGGAAAAAAAATTCGGTTAATGAAATTTGAATAATTCGGTTCGGCCAGTTAACCGAATTAACCGTTTGAATACCTTACTCGAAACCCTTGTCTTCTCCTCCGATCCGAGTTTGTTGTTCGTTAATGGCTTCAACATGTGAGGAAGACCATGCTTTCCAATATACTGTTATACTGTTCTTGTCTTTTGTTGCTCCCTCAGTCTTCTTTCACATCATCCATGGCGTCTTAAACGTTATCATAACACCACTTGAATGCAATGCTGGTCAGAAGTGCAATAGGATGCTAATTTGATTCGAATCTGATGGATTTTATTTCGACCAGATCTTATAAGGTCATTTTTCTAATTCGACTAAATCAAGTTTCATGAAGTATTAGATCAGATGCAGTTTCATGAAATATGAGGTTGAGTGGGATTAGGTCTGAGTTCATGGGTGAAAAATATCCGACCTAACCTGACTCAAGATAATAATATAATTTTTCTCTTTATATATCAAGATAATTGTTTCAATACTTTCTCCATGTTTTTTCAATTAGGTATTTATTTTAAATAAAAATGAGAATATTTTATTTGAGTTTGGTCGAATTTAAATTTTTACCTTAGATTTCGAGTCGGATAAAACTTCCCTAAATCTGAATTAGGTCAACTTAAGACTGAAATGAGGAGTATATTGTTACTTATAAGAATAATTATTATAATACTCTCTCTCGAATCAAAATTAGGTCAACTTAAAATCTAACCCGATCCATTATCATTCCTATATCTACTACCAAAGTTGAAGATTATAGACTAACAATAGCAGAGCTTCTGCGAGAACTAAAAAAAATCGATGAAACCGGCGAATGAATCGATAGCCAGTAGATTCTGCGTTAGTCATTGAGCTTGATGGTACAGTGTTCCGATGACCGGAATTGCCGTGAGCGGTGGACTCATCGTTGTCATTTCAGTGGTGACCACAAACACAAATTACACAGTACGAGCAAGAAATAATAACACATAGAACACTATCATATTGCCACATCATCAAAATGGATAATAATGAGCCAAAATATCAACTTCACAAAATTAGGGGTTAAATTTTAAAACTTGTCAAATTTAAAGGTAAGAAGTTACTTTATCCATATATTAAAAAGACCATGTGCTTAATAATAATAATAAGATTTAAAAAATAAGTGTCTAAATTATATTTAAATTCTCGAATAGGTGCCTAAATTATTTTTTGACCTATCCTAGTGCCTAACGTTATAAATGTTACCCATTTATGTGCGATGTTAATTTCTATGTTAAGTGATACGTGTTACAATTTGGTATTTTAAAAAATTTATTTAAAATTAAAAAAAAAAATTATATATTTTTAAAGAAAAATAAACATTTTGAAATAACCCAAAAACTTTGAAAACTTTCATTTCAACCCCTAAACCCACATCAGTCGTCGCCCTAGGCCATCAACGAAGCTCTACCCGACCTCATCTCCCCCTGACGACCAAAACCCCCATGAAATCATGATCGACCGACGGCGAATCGACGTTTTATACTCCACGAACCACCCTATGATGTAAATCGAGATCTCACGCGATCTCGACATCCAATCGAAGACAACTACGACGACGTATGACTAGGGGATGACATGGATTACACCGCGACAGTGGTCGTGGCTGGAAAGGGCGACGACAAGGAGTTAAGGATATGATTTGGGGATTTTACCTATTTTGGGTTTTTTATAATTTAAGAGAAATTAGGTTTTTTTATAAATATAATAATAATTTTAAAAAAATCAAAATCATCATATTCTGACACGTGTCACTTAATGGGGGAAATTAACGTCATTGACGGTCCGAGCACCTAAATGTGTAACGTTTGTAACGTTAGACACCTGGATGGGTCAAAAAATGGTTTAGGCACCTATTCGAGAATTTAAATATAGTTTGGACACTTATTTTGGTATTGAGCCTAATAATAATAATAACAACAATAATAATAAAATGACAAATTTATCCAAATA